CATTTTAAGAAAAATAATGTAGGATTAACTTTGATAAGAAAAAAGTAAAACGATTAAAGCAAAAAGAATCAAACGTTGGGACGGAGTCAGAAATCAGACATCGGGCCGGAAGAATCGGACATTACGCTAAGATCAAATGTTGCGGGAGACAACATGCCGATAGATCGGGAGATACGTTGAAGGTTCGAACGACACGTCGAAAGTTCGTTGGGAGTTCGGATGAACTAACAACATGCCAAACAACTTAAATTTCTTATCTCGTAATTGTTTAAGTCTTAATTATCATAGTTAGGTCTTAAATTGAGTTAGTTTTGGGTGTAACCCTATTAACTCAATTAGGGACCCTTTGGGCCTGATCTGGGACTGAGTTGGGCTCATTCAGTGACCTATAGTTAGGTCAAGCGGTGGTACTGCTAGAACATATCAAGTGTACATTTTTCGAAAGACTCGACGGTGGTATCGCCCAGACTGGTGGTAGTATCACTAGTACATGGTTTCCCATAAAGTCTAGCGATAGTACCGCCCAGACTAGGTGGTAGTACCATTAGTTGTCAAGGGTACAGGTGGTGGTACCACCCAGTACTAGTGGTAGTACTACTAGTATCCCTGAAACCAGGGATGAGACATTTTTTTGCTCTATTTTTGAAGTCATTTAGGGTCTATAAATATCTCACTCTTTTTTGCTTGAGAAAACAAGAAAAGTGAACAAAAACTCTAGTGATTCTGAATTGTAAAGCTTTGAAAAGTGCTAAGTGTCTCCTCCTCTTTAAGTTTTGGGCTTATTCTAATAGATGTGTGAGACTTGTAAATGTTCTCTCCTAAACATGTAAAATGGAGAAAGAGTTGTAAAGAGGGTAGTTAGTCTCCGTCCATTGAAAGAAGATCATTAGTGAACATCGATGGCCTCGACGGAAGATGAATCGAGAGTGAACATAGGTCGCTATGACCAACCACTATAAACTCGGTGTACACTTTCTTCCTACTTTTCATTGTCATTACTTATTGATTCAATTATCTATTATTCTCACTTGCTTTCTAAGTTTAAATACTTTCCGATACAAGCTTTATCGAATAAAAATTTTAAATCAATGTTTTTACGAAAGCATTAATTCATCCTCTCCTAATGTCGATACGGTCCTACTAATTAGTATTAGAGCCAAGTTTCTCTCGATTGATTTAACATCTAAGAGTGACTAAATAGCTTTTGCTGGTAATGTAGAAGGTCACTCTATTATTACTATCATTTAAGGTTTGCTTGTTAGGGTGGAAGTGGAATCGAATGCTTTGGTGCAGCTGTTTCTTGCGGAGCAAACCTCACATGGAAATGGAACTGGACTGCTTCCTTGTTGCCCGTGATATGATCGTCTTCTTTCTTCCACTCCTACAGCAACAAGTCTTGGCAAAGTCTGATCGTAAACGCCAAGCCCGCACTGCAGCTCAGCCTGTACCGACATAAAGAAGCAGAAGCAACGATATGAGTTACAAAGCTGGTGGCTCTCAGCGTGGTCCTCACGGTGGCGGCCTTGTTCTCCTTCTTCCACCTGCAGCTATGAAGCCGAGGCCATGAAGGAGAGAGGCGCAGGCAGCGGACAAACCCATGCTGCCACCACTGCACCAACTCCACCTCGCCGCGGTGCAACAGGTCGTGCCGGCGCTGCGTGGGGCTACCGACGCTAGGAGTGTTCAAATGGAATTAGAAAATTGAATCAAATCGAAACCACCTAATTAATTATCCTAATTGATTTAAATTAATTAATCAAATCGACCAAAATAATTAATTTTAAATTATAAACTAACTAATTAAATCGAATTAATTAATTTTAAATTAATAAATCAAAATCGATTCCCAGCGAATCCGAACTGGTCACATTGACCCAAAAGATGAAGTCGAACGAACACAAAAGTTTGGTATAAACTTGGTAGGGGCCGCGCGTGCGCGTACCCCCCTATCACAAATTATGACGTCCACTCTCCCACTTGGGGAGATGGTAAGCCAATGCTCCTCCAACGTGCAATGGAGGCCATTGGCTTAGGCCATGAGCCTTCTTGATCGCCCATAGACCCCGTCCAGGTAAGTATGTTACAATCGTAGCACGAATCTTCTTTTAAGCATCTCTGCGTTCTCGCCACCCTTAGATTCCTCGATGTGGGACTAAACCCCTCGTGTGAACGAAACGTTGATTAATTGTGATATAGTTAATCGTAAGGTAAGCAATATATGATTACGTCACATTATATGTACACATATGCGATCTTTTCTCTGTTATGCCAACAACAATTATGAAGTATGTCGGGCCACTGGGTGCGATCAGATTAGCCTCATAGTTGGCACGAATGTTGAGGCATAAGAGTGTGGTCCAATTAACTACGATGTTATGGTTAACCAAGTCAAAATTCTCCACCGGTCCGACCCGAGTCGGACTCGAAAACGGCTTAGGGTTGTCCTCAGATGTAACTCACCCTCCGTATGTCGCCGTTGTTCTGAAGGAAGCGGAGAGGGGAAGATGGCGGTGGACATGGGGAAGCTGCGATGGGGGGAGCTGGAGGACGACGCGGAGGACCTGGACTTCCTGCTGCCGCCGCGGGTGGTGGTGGGGCCTGACGAGAACGGGGTGAAGAAGGTGATCGAGTACCGGTTCGACGAGGAGGGGAACAAGGTGCGGGTCACCACCACCACCCGCGTCCGCAAGCTCACCCGCGCCCGCCTCAGCAAGCGCGCCCTCGAGCGCCGATCCTGGCCCAAGTTCGGCGATGCCGCCCACGAGGACGCCGGCGCCCGCCTCACCATGGTCTCCACCGAGGAGATCATCCTCGAGCGCCCTCGCGCCCCCGGTTCGATCCTTTCCCTTCCCTTCCTCCTCGTTACCTTCTTTCTCCTTTTTCTTTCCGGGAGACTCGGTAGTCATCTTTTTAGGGTTTTCTATTAATACTCGATCTAGTCGTTTTCTTCATGGGTACGATCGATCTCGTTTACACTAAATTCTTTCTGAAGAAGAAAAGAACGTCAAAAGGTCATTATTTGTGATTGGTGATGCCAGTTTCTTTTTTCCTTCTCCTATTGCGAAAAAAAAAGAAGGTTTTTTCATGTAGGAAGTTTTCAGTCCTGGATCTATGGCGCAAATCCATTTCTTTAAGGCACTTAGTGGGACTTGGTTGAAGTTGCGTGGCGTAATTTAGGGGATCAATATGGGACCTTGCCTTATCCTTTGTTTTCCTTGATTACTTTTATCTGGATCTGAGTTGAAAAGCCAATTACAATATCTGATTATGTTATGTGAAGCGAATTCGGGCTGCTTCTTGATTCCTTTGTATGTTTCACTTTTAATTTTCTTCATGAAAAGCAGGACAGTATTGTACCATTTCCAATAATTCCGAATACAGGCCTTTAAAGAGAGCCTGAAGTTTCAGTGCAGTTTGGATGACAACTTAGCTAGGTGATGGGTGATATTGGCCTTTACCTTGTAGCATTCGACAAATAATTATAAGGGGCATGTTCTCTAACTTATGGGTTTAAGGATTAAAGGCAAATCAAGTGCCTCACAGGTTCTTTTCTAAGAAGCACAAACACGTGCTTTTGGTTGACGCATCCGGCACGTGTCAAGACACATGGACACATGTGTCAGATACTTGCTTGCTGCACTGCACTCGTGTGGCCCTCAGAGTGCCATATGCTTTACAAGAAAAGAAATCTGGAGATGGTCACAAGAAAACATATATCAATTATATTCAAACATTCTTAAATATTATTTGACGGACTCAACTTTTGTTTTGGATACTTAAATTTTGATAATTTTAATTGTTTTAACCTGTATAATGATATTTATTTGTTCATATTGTTGACTTTATAAAATTTAAATATAAATACTATAAAACTCATGTTAATCAAATATTATATATACATATTAAAAAATACATGTGTTCTCGCTGTGTTCGTGTCCTAATTTTTTTAAAAAATGGCATGTCGTCGTGTCCATGTTGTGTTGTATCTGTGTCCCTGTGTTCATGCTTCTTAGGTTCTTCTTCCTTCTCAATTCTCTGGTGATTGCTCTTTTTATTATTTTAATACAACAAGTCATTCGGGGACATTAAAATGTGTCTGACTTGGCTTTTGTTATATCACTATGATATAATCAATTTTGGTTGTGTCAACCTGATGTGACACAATTTATCTGACTTGGCTTGTTTTGTGGGTGTTATCACGTTTGGAAGAGGGGAAACTGCCTTGAGGGATTGCAGTCACGACCCAATCAAGGAAAAATTTTTCTCACGTTAAAAAAAGGTCCATCTTGTTTTGGTCTTACAATAACAATAACAACAACAACAAAACCATAAGTTTCAACTATTTGGGGTCGATTATATAAATCTTTTACCACCATTGATACTGTAATTTGGTCCATGTTTATAAAAAATGGCATAAGAGTTGCTGCCACAAAAATTAGTCTGTTCATCACAGGCAAGAAGAACATGTAAGAAGGTTGGGTGTTCAGTCTTAGTAAGTTCGAATTGAGATCACACTTGGAGGGGCCTTCTTATATAATGCTTATTCCTTTAGATGTCAAGCTGACATGCCATGTCCAGTACTCGGACTGGTTGGCTTCACGTGTTCAAGAATATTGTTCACATCATTATGTCTCATTTTTAATCTTCTTCATGAGATTTAGTTCTCCATTGTACCATATAATGAGTCCAGATGAAAGCCTTGAAGGGGAGCCTGAAGTTTCAGTTTAGTTTGGGTGACAACTTAGCTATGTATGGGTGATATATTGGCATTTAGCTTGTAGCATCCAACAAATCATTTTAAAGGGCATGTTGTCTAATTTATATGGGTTGAAGGATTAAAGAGAGAAAACAATAGTTTTTTAGGAGGTTCCTCTTACCTCTCAGTCCTCTAGTGATTGCACTTGTTATTGTTTTAATAAAATAAGTCATTCAGGGTAACTAAAACGTGATTAACTTTGTTGTGTTATAGCACCAACTAAGAGGATAAGTGTGAAAAAATGTAACTTAGTCCTAATTTGGGATTCACTAGTGGTTTCTTTTGTTATATTAGTAGCTCATTGGATTAGTGACTCACTATGTTATCATTGTTTTTGTGCTTAATAATTATTTTATGATAATGGTATCTTTTGTTCAAAGATTATTATTGTTATTTTTGTCATTCTATTCAACCTTGCTTTGGACTGTAACTTTACTCTATATTCCTGCTTGTATAATTTATGAGCCTGTATAATTTATGAGTGATCATTTTTGCATCTTGATGTTGATAATGAATAAGGTTGCTATCTTAGGCATATTTCGGTTTGGACCTAAACTTTTCATGGTTTTCCCATATGCTAGATGGGATATGTTTTGTTTTAGATACTTTGTATATGTATTTTTTACGTGCTTTGTGCAACTTTATCTACACTTCCCTCTATTATACCTTCTATCATGTCTTAATTAAATATTTTGAAAAAAGTGTTATTCACTGATATGGAAATGCTTAACTCATTTATTTGGTGGAGTTTAAGTTGTGATGGGAGATAATATTCATCTTGTCGACCATTTTTCTTGATGGTGTCCTCAACACCTAATTTCACAATACACACAACTTGGCAGTTGGCAACAATCTGGATCAATAGATAATGTTAATTTAGTCATGAACATGAATGATATTTATAGAAAATTTTCAGGTTCCTGTGGAAGAAACTGTGTTGCTTAACTACTTTGTATGGAGACTCGGCATTGTCTGGATATCTTATGTTGCTAGCTAGTGATAGGTAGAAGTGTAACTACTTTGTATGGAGACTCAGCACTGTCTGGAGATTTATCTTAGGTTGCTAGCTAGTGATAGGTAAAAGTTTAATTATTCTCTTGAGGTTGGACTATGAAGAATTTTAGGATTATCTCAATATGTACAATTATGTGATTTTATAGATACTGTAGGAAATCGAGGGAAACTTATTAAGATGATGGTGTGACCATGTGAGGGAAATTAAATGAGGACTGAGATAACTAAGTGGGCAATTATTAGTAGTAGACCTAATTTTGGGTGGGAAGGGTTATTTTGAGTAGTCTTAATTTGTTATTGTAACACCATACTCCTAATTCGTATCCTACATGTATGATTGGAATATGATGTCATCTATTCGTTTACTAATGCTATAAAAAATAGTATAGTAGAAAAGTGGACGATTTTGAAAAATGCTAATTTGCCAAACAAAATGACAAGGGTTTCCCTTTTACACATTGGTGTTTGAATTTTGTACATATGTTATAAGCACATAATCTCAAACTACACATGGACTTTTAATCCAAAACTCATGTACATAAAAATGTGCCTAGTCATTGTCTATATCTACTTTGGCATGAGTCCATACCTGTTTATCTCCTTACTCATCTCATGGATGGAGGAATAGTATATTTACTTGCAAAATAGGGTATACAATGAGTGATAACCCAGAAAGTATAAACTTTCAATTTAACATATTAACGTGAGCATGCATTGTGCCATATTTTAAATCTTTTTAAATCAAATGCATTAAACATTTCACAGCAAATATATCATAGCATGACATATGCCTAATAAGGAGACAAAATTCTCACTTAAAAGTGAATCAAAACACATCTATTCAAGAATAATTCATAGTACCTAGCACCAAAGATTGTAATTTCGATCAATACCAGTATATCGAGCCCTGCTTGGTATGGCGTGTACCAAGGTGTACCGACGATACTCCCAAAATCATTAAAAAAACCTTCAAAAATACTTGAAAAATAGAAAAAAAAAGTTAGACTAAAATTTTTAAGTTAGAAATAAATATAAATTTTGTATAATTTTAGCAAAAAGAAATATAAATTAAGAAAGAATAGTATCACATATCTTTTTCGATTACATTGAATTGACCTAATATCGATCAAATTTCGATTAAATCATCATTAAGGTTACTAATCATGGTATTAAAAATCTAATTAAACTTATTATACCATCACAAATATATGATTGACTCCTTAATATGCATGAAATATAAATATTTGACTTATTAAGTGTCTAATTTCAAAAAAAATCAATATTAAACGTATTAATCACAACATTAAAGATCTTAATTATTTCCTAGTTAACATTATTCTATCATCAAAAACATATCAAACAACATATTAGCTATTTTGTTTTAATTTACTTGTAACTCCGAATGTAAAACACATATTTTGCAGGGTCATAATATGTCCAAATTAAAATCCTTTTATTTTAATTTACTTGTAACTACCAATACAAACAATAATTTGTAGCAAAATTTTGGTATAGTATTCTCTGAATTAGACTATATCTAACCGATAAATTCACCTAAATTCCATCATCAATTTGTCAATAATTCAACCTATAATCTATCATATAGTGGTTACCAATTAACGAACTATATAATTCTACGAAATAATTTTGTTTCACTATTATTGTTGACCAAACCATCATAAATTATCATAACATTTTGTAGGAGCTCAGGAGCTATATAAAACTAAAACTAGAATCATTAAGAGGCTAAAGTTCCATTCAAATTCACTACTTGAATGAATTTGAAACTATGTTTAGTAAATGTATACAAAATTTTTAGAATCTTCTATTATGTTCTGCTAAAACTAGGTTGAGACTACTTGAGTTTCTCAGGCTCATCTTGGTGTATAAAGATGATATTCATTCAATTCTAAATCTTATAAAACCCTAAGGGATCTTTTTACGACATATCAAAAGAATATGGTTTAGTCATATTCCTAAGGATGTCAATTTAGCTTAAAAAAAAGGAGATTTTGAGCACATATTGGAACACCCATAACTCTATGCACGAATCTCAGATTAA